CGTTTCCCGAATATGAGAAATGCTTCACAATCCCCAGTCGTTACCTCTTCCCTCTTCCTTTCCCTGTAGGAGGCCAGCCACGAATCTTGACCAGGCGCCCTGAGGGGCTTCCGTTTGGGGTGGCGCATATTTACATAATGCTCGAATTGTACAGTAAGCATTTTCCAATTAGGCTTCTGGTAGTGATTATTTGAATGTGCAGCTTAGGCAAAGAAAAAACAGGCTTGGAAATAGGCGAAATATAGCACTGTTATAACCAAGAAAATGTGAAAGTCTGTTGTATTTTACAGATTCGGGTGTTAAAGTGGCTTCTGTGTCCATTGGGTGACCGGAGGGGGGGCAGGGGGCGCCCTGGTTCGCCACCGCCGTCCTGACGTGTGTATTTGTGAGTAGCTTCCCCTTCAGCGTTGAAAGTGCCCAGGCTTGTGTGGTCAGGTCTGCGGTCACTCTGGGTATGAGGATGAAGCTGGCCTCTAGTCTCTGGTTGTACGAATCAGATCAAGCCGTATAGCTTTGCTTTTGAACGTTGTTATTAAAGAACACTTACACGTGGCTTTTTAAACTATTTATGTACTAGTTTTTTCTTCTAACAAAAAACTACTTCCAGGTTTTTGGGGGGTTTATTTATGTGCCGTTACTATTGCCTGTTGGCTTTTATTTTGTTTTCATTTTTTAATCGCAGAATAATAGAGGCAGCAGAAAGGCAAGGTTGTTTGAAATATAGGTTGGCAACTTTGCTAATGGAAATTTACACATTGGGGTTTTACCCGCTGAAACGATGACAGATAAAAATTCCACCTTCTATCGTCATACTACTTACTTTAATGTCACACTCTTTTAATTAGCAGAACATGATGTGTTTCTCTGCCATTTGCCTTTTCTTTCCCTTCCTCAATTTTATTTTATTTTTTCACTTCGAACATACTTCCCCATCGCCCTTTCTCCCCAGCAGCCTAAACTGGCTCCTGCTTTGTGAGCTCTGTCCGTGGGCCCTGGTGGTCAACGAAGCGAAGTCGGAGTGTAAGGGTGAGTGTCGACTGCCCGAAAAAACCGAGGAAAATTCTGCTGCTGGCGTCTCATTATGAACATTAGCATTTTACTAAGCTCGTAACCATATTACACTGTCTGACAACTGTTCCCATAACGATCATTTATTTATGTCCGTCACTAAATGCTATTTATATTTATATCCGTCACTAAAGCTAAAGGGGCAGGAGGGCAGAGGTGGCACCTGACTTCTCTGGGCTCTGGGGGTGGCAGAAGCCCAGGCCCCAGGGAGGTGCCTCCCAGAGAAAGACTTCCTTCTGAAATGGAAAGGCCGGCGGAGACGTGAGGACCCGACAGCCACAGCCAGTAAGCCTCCAGCTAATCACAGCCCCGAAGGGTGAGGTCGCCGTCCCCACAGTGTTTCATTAAAGCCTCGACACCCTGAGGCCCCCGCCGGTCCCTGTCCCTAGCTCTTGAGCCCGTCTTGCTGTCCTTTTACCACCTCTGATCTCTGCAAGCCCCTCTCCTCCCTGCCCACTGTTTCCCCCTTTCTCGCCACATCCCTCGGATTAACCTACGGAGGCAGAATGGAAATAGCTGGACTGCTTTCCTTGGGCAAATCACTGACCTTGCCACTTCATTGTTTGTTGAGAGCAGAAACTTGTTTCTCTATAGAAAAGCACGCGGAACATGAGATAAAAATCATTGTAGACCAAATACTGGTTTTCAGTTGTAGCAATATCAAAGTATAAGTGAGAACTTAAAAAAGGCTTTTGGTATATTATTCCATGAAGGGGTTATGTTGTATTTATCAAGGGTCACTCTTTAGAGTAAGATGTGATCAGTGGGTCCATCAGTTTTTCTCCTCGTGCCCTGGTTTTTAATGCCTGAAACGTGGTGGAAAGCTTTCGGCATTGTGCCGCATGAGGTTTTCCTTCCATCAGAGTTCAGAAGGACCTGTCAGAGCTTAAACTCTTGCTTACGATCCATAGGAATAAAACTCCAGGAGGGAATGAGCAGTTGGTTTCATAGCAAACATTTGTTTAGCCTCTTGTAGGAATTCCACACAACTTAAGTGAATAGACCCACTAACGAGCCACGAAGGACCAGTGGTCGAAACAGCTGCGCCCTCCACTTCTCTGATCTGGGAAACAAAGAATTCCATTTGCGGGGGTTACATAATAAGAGAGCTTAATCTTCAATTTGGACTTAACTGGACTAGGATAGTCAGAATTCTATTCATTAAAAGTGTTGTGTGTGTTTTTTGTTTTTTTTTTTTTTTGTTCTTTCTACTATTACTGGGGGCAAAATACCGTAATTTTTTTTTCAGAATATCATAGTATTTAAAGGAACTTGACTTCGTACTTAACAGAAACTGCTGAAAGGTATAACCATGAACCAGATTCTTATTGACAACTTCCCTGGCTTCTTCATTCTCTTTATACCTGAGAAAGAGTGCAGGCCACATGCTTTATTACACATCTCTGGCAAAGATGAAGAAGCCAGAGCTAAGAAGTTGGTAAGGAGCATCAAAGGAGCACACAGTAGGTGCCTTCTGTACCAGGGGTAGTTTAATCCTCACAATAATCTTACATTGTTGATACGATGTTTGTCCCTCATGAAGAAACTTACACAAAGGGTCTGAGTAACTTGGCCAAGATCACAAAGCCAGAAAGAGACAGAAATTTGAACCCAAGGAGACTTGACTCCAGACCTGGCCCTTTTAACCACTATAGACTCCTGCCTCCTTGAGGCAATCGGGAAGGCCTGTATGGATTAGATATGATTTTACCGTGAAGCCTGCACAGAGTCCCTAGCACATGCTAAGATCTCATTAAATACAGTGAATGTTTGCATTTTGAATGTAGAGAGGAAAAGACTCCCAAAGAGTTATTTAATACAAGAAAGATTCCTTTCTGGGTATAGGGAGACAGCTCTTATTGTCTGACCTGTTACATCTTCAAAGGATCACTCACCGGAGAGGTAGAGAGGGGCTCACCTACACCAGAAGATTTCACCAACCCCTCCCCTGCCCTGCCGTCCTGGGCTTTGGGGGAAATAAAAGTAGCCTCTTCGAATGAGACCAGGGCTCTCAGGGATTGGGAGTTAGGCAGTGAGAGTTCAGCAAACCCTGAATCTGGATGAAGGTGTGTGTGTGCCTACAGGGAAGGGTCAGGGTCGTTGCATTGTGCCAGTGACTTTTGTCACTTTGTGTCTATAGCTAGATTATTGCACCTCTCAAACTGAACTCAAGGGTGACAGCTTCATGAAATTCTTAGCCACTCGAGTAGTTTGCTTTGGCTGTTGGAGTGATGGCTGGTCGTCTCCTTTCAAGTCGCTTCCATTGGAAGCTGGTCTCCAGGGAAGGCCTCTGCCCACGCTGATTAATGTGTAACTTTCAGAATTATTCGGAAGCATATTGGAACAATTCCCTTTATTCCGGAGTTTTCCCACGTGTATTAATAAGGGGGGAAAAAAAGGCATGTTCAAGGGAATTTGGAACATGCTGGGTTAAAAAGAGTTGAACAGTTCTCTGCAAAATTCTCAGGGCCTTTGATGTAATGATGGGGATTATGTATCTGTAATAGAATACTTAGTATGTTCCAGATCCTCTTTTGTAAGACATATCCTGGTACCAGCATGTCTTAGAAAGCCCATAATGGGTGAGAATATGGATGACGAATCCTGACTGCAAGACCCAGCTCTGCCGCTAGCTGTGGTTTTGAACTAACCACTTAACCCCTCTGCCACAAAGTCTCCTTGTCTACAAAATAGTAGTGACGATTAGAATCGTGCCTCCTTTACAGTGTTGTTGTGAAGATCGAATGACCACATACATCGCCCTACCCACCTCACTAAGTGTAATACGCAGGGGCTGTGTTATAACTATACAGCCTACTGTTTACGAATAATCGAGGCCCCATACACATGTAACGTGTGCCTTGCAAAAGTTAGAGAAAGTTCCTTGTGACCCTTCTGCAAGAAAAGGAACAGGTAAGTGGGGAATCATGCAGAGGCTTCGAGTCTGGGGAAAACTCCACCGAGCTTCCAGTTGTCAGTCCGGTCAGCATGGCCACAACCACGACGAAATGCAGGCGCTGACTCTGAGAAGCTAAAGGTGAAATAAAAGAGGAGGGGAGAAATGCACAGTGGCAGGAACCCTTCTTGTATTCATCTCATTTGGACGAGGTCGAAAGAGAAAATGCCAGGCTATGTGTAGTGTGTCACGGTAGACACCAGACAGACGCTCACAGTGCCAGCTTCCTGGGTCTATGTTCCGGAAAGGATGAAGCTGGTGGGGACTGTCTCCCCGGAGGGGAAGGTGAAGTGAAAGCCATATCAAGAAGTGGCTGAGGCAGCAATTGAAGAAGACACCCATCCGTTCCAACAGTTCACAAACCAGGATGTGCTGTGCTCTGGGTAAAAGGCAGGGAGGTCTGTTGGGAGCAGCTCACAGCCAAATGAAGGGCAGGATTGTCACACTAACAATTGGGCTCTAGGACACAGGCACTGGACTCGTGTTAGGGAATAGCAGAAAGGGATCCCACTGAAAAGGCAGGGGGACGCCGCTGTCGGATGGGAAGGCTCGTCCCGGGGCTGGCCTGGCGCAGGGTAAACGGGTGCTCATTCGCGCGGGTGTTTGTGTACAGTACGCAACGCAGGAGGAAAGCCTTCCATTCTGGAGCAAGCGATTGCACTGGGGAGGCGGTGAGTGAGCAAGCCCCAGTAACTCAAACGGGAGGCTTGATAGCGCGTCCTTCAGCAGACGGGGCCAGAATGACTATATAAAGTAAATACCGTAAATCACCAGTGTCAGGGCGCACACTCCACCTCCCCCCCTCCCCCCCCCCCCCGCCCTGCCCGCACACACCCCCTCGACGGTTCAGAGCGAGCTCGAAGTCTAAGTGAAGGAGAGGACTCCGGACTGTAATCCTAGCACGTCACTTTGTTGAAGGCGAACACGTGGTTCGGAGGGAATTTATAAATCTCTCCTCCCAGGCAAGCCCGTGATGTTATCTGCTGGCAGCAGACGGTTCGCTTCGAGGGGAGCTTAAGAAGCTCCCGCAGAGGGGAGAGAGAGCGAGCGCAAGTGAAGGAGGCTGGGGAAAGGGATGGAGAGCTAGTGTAACGGTCTAGGGAGCCATTCGGGATCCAGCCGAGAGGCTGCTGCCTGCAGAAAGGGGAAAGCAGGAGGGTCGATTTTCAGGGTGCCCAGTGCCGACCTCCCCTAAGCAAGAACATCCAAGGGACAGAGCAACCAGGAGATCTGGGAAAGGGTGGTTGTCCAAGGGAAGCCCTACGCAACCCCCTTAGGAATAAAACTGCCCCGCAGCAGTCCCAGGGAGTGAAAGCCACGGCTGTGGCCGCCTGTCGCCTGTTGCCGGGTTGGCGTTTGGAGCGAGAGGAGGAGGAGGAGCAGGAGAAGGAGGGAGCTGGAGGCTGGACGCGTTTGCCAGCAGCAGCGGCGGCAGCAACGTGGAGTAACCGGGCCGGTCGGCGTGCTCCGGCCGGGGTGGAGGCTACAGCGAGCGGCTCCGGGACAGGATCCTCGCCTCCTGGGCAGTCGCTGCAGCGGCCGCCGCCGACCCGAGCGCGTCCAGAGCGCCCAGCGCGGCGCTGCGCAGCCACCTCCCCGCGGCGCGCTAGGCTCACTCCCCAGCGCGCGCGCACGCGCGCGCGCGCGCACACACACACACACACTCACACACACACTCACACACGTGTGCGCTCCTCCGCTCCCGAGCTGCTGTTGCCACTGCTCCCAGCGCCGCAGTGGACCTCGGGGCCCAGCCGCTCCTGCCTTAAATATATAAATTACAGCCGCGCGGCCCTCGCGCTGCGCTCGCGGCGCCCCTCCCGCGCGCCCGCCAGCTGCCAGCCCGGGACCTCTTCATCTCTTCCCTCTTGGCTGGAGGAGCCGAGTTCAGATCCGCCACTCCGCACCCGAAACTGACACACTGAACTCCGTGTCCTCCTCTCAAATCCATTTCTGCCTAATAGCCACTCGTCTCTTTCCCCCTCCAACCTCGTCGCTCCAAGAAAACTTTTTCTTATTCCCCCAAGTGAGAGTTCCCCCTACCCGTCGTGTATTCATATTTCCACTTTGGGAACTACTGGCATTTTCTTTTTAAAGGAATTCGAGCAAGATACCTTTTTTCCCCCTTATTGGACATTGATTGACTCTGTTGTTTGCAAAAGTTTCACATTAAAAAAAAAATCTACCTGATTTGTACTTTGAGACTGGTCTTTTCATTTCTTCCTCCTTTTTTTTTTTGTACTTTTTTTTTTACTTAAAAAAATTTTTTTCACCTTTAAAAAAATGCACTACTGTGTGCTGAGCGCTTTGGGGCTCCTGCATCTGGTCACGGCGGCGCTCAGCCTGTCTACCTGCAGCACGCTCGACATGGAACAGTTCATGCGCAAGAGGATCGAGGCGATCCGCGGGCAGATCCTGAGCAAGCTGAAGCTCACCAGCCCCCCAGAAGAGTACCCCGAACCCGAGGACGTCCCCCCGGAGGTGATTTCCATCTACAACAGCACCAGGGACTTGCTCCAGGAGAAGGCGAGCCGGAGGGCGGCCGCCTGTGAGCGCGAGCGCAGCGACGAGGAGTATTACGCTAAGGAGGTTTACAAGATAGACATGCCGCCCTTCTTACCCTCGGAAAGTAAGTACTGTTTTTTGCTTCCATTCCCCGGGGCTTAGCGCTGCCTGAGTCTCTCGAATCGGCCACCACTCCAGGGATCGCCCTTCCCTATCGCGTCCCCGTTCGGTCTTTCCTTCTGTCCCTCGTCCCACCCACCTCCTCGCCACTTGCGGCTGGAGAACCGTAGGCTTGAAAACGTTGCCTTTCTACTGTATTTTCTCCATTCCTCCCTTCCCCCAACCCTCGATTCCTCCGTCCTTTCCAAGGCGGTTATCCTCTTTCTCGCCCCTGAAATTCTTTGCTCGGCCACTAGCTAGAAGTCAGCTCTCCTCTGTCACTCGGGAGGCGCTCCCTGGGGCTGAGTTCAGCAGAGAAATCTCGGTGGGTTTCTTTTCTCGGCCCCGATGGGCGTGGAGCCTGTCCAGCTGGTGCAGGAAGGGTTAAAAAAAAAAGTGGCTCCAAGCTAGGCCCTCTGGAAGGCGCCCCTCTCGGCCTGACCTATCAGATGGCTCCCCCAAGCTTCCCTATTGTCTCCAGCTCCCCCCAAAATGTCAGCGTCGCCCAGACCAACCCGATTTGGTGGAACCCCTCGAAAAACCTACCTCTGAACCCCCGATTCCTGAACCTCTTGCCACAGCTAGGTGTTTACGTTCCCCAAAGGCCCGCTCGTGGAACCACGGCCCCTTTTGATGTCACCTGGAGGGTTGGAAAGGACAACTTGGTTTCTGACGATGCTGACGGGGGTTTGACTTCACGTTATTTTCCAAAATCCACTCAAACCTGCCTTCTCAAGCTCGTGGTCTAGCAGGTCATTTTTCTTAGGCGTTTATTTTTCTCTCTCTTGAGACCCTGGCTCCTGCAGTTACTTGGGTGCATTCCTAAATCTCAGAGTAAAACACAGCCGATTTCTTTAATAAATAAATAAATAAATAAATAAACCGGCTTCTCTGAGGGCAGTGTCTTCAAAACCAGCTGGCAGACAGTAGCAATGGGAGTGAAATGATTTATTGGGGAGTTCCTTGGGGGGGGGGTGGAGGGGATAGTTAGCTTAGAATTAGTTCCAAGTTCTTTTAAAAAGGAAAGGAAAGAAAAGAAGAAGTATCCCATGATACCTGAGAGGGTTAAATACCAGGAAGAAAAAGAGGGGAAAAAAAAGCTTCCACATTTGCTTAGTCCAAACCCCAAGTTGTAAACTTTTCATTGGTCGCCCATTCCTCCCCACCCCGTGCATCGCCCTATATACGTGCTGGCCGCCTTTGCAAAGTCTCTGTGTCTTTTCTAAATAGAGAATATGGCCATCTTGATCATTTGATCCTAGAAGTTCTCATTGTGGGGTGGAGCTTTTCTTTCCTAATATTTATTTTTAGTTTGACAAGTCGCAGCTCCGCGGCTTGCCCTGTCTCCTCCTCGATGGGCTCAGGATGCCGGCCCAGGTTGCTCAGCTCGGTCTTCGCAGCGACCTGGCTTGCACGGCGGCTTCTCCTCTTGTTCAAAGGCCGAGCAGATGCAGGGGATCCCGGCAGGCAGGGTGATTTTATTATTGTCATCGTGGCAATAATATCATCCACGGTGGTGATAAATACACCCCACCCTGGTTCTGCCCTGTGGGAAGCAAAGCTGTCTGTCTGGCATGGAGCCAAGGAGATATTAGGCAAGAAAAGTTCATTGTAATTAGTCCAAAACCATTGAGACCAAACAGGGGGTTGAGCCAGTTTGCTTTCTCCAGCACGTGCGTGGTTTCTGCCGGTGTTTGGGCGGACAAACAAGTGTGTTATAGAGAAGCTGAACAGGCCATCCCTGGAGGGTGTTTACCTGCAAACGCGCTAATGAGTTGCCAGCACTTTTAACGGAGGAGGTCTGAATTCCTCATTAGATAGGTTTGGAGAGAGCCAGTTACCCACGGAGCTGCTGATTCTTTGTTCGTTCAAGCGTATTTCAGTGCAGAGGGCGGAGATGATCTGACCCAGGTTCACGGTCATCGCCAAACAGGAAAAACCCTCAGAGTATTAGGGTTTCAGAAGATGGCCTCAAAGCTCAGCATGCGGATACCGTTCCCCTCTCCACCCCCAGCCACCAAATCAGTTAGAACCTCTGACAAGTCCAGCATAAAAAAAATATGTACTTCAGCTTTCATACAAAAAAAGGTACAGGCTTCTTCGAGCCTGGCTTGTGCGTGGACGTTCAGGAGCAGGAAACCATATTAACAGCAGACTCGATCTCACTGTGCACGGACTGTGGACAATGTGATAGAAAGTAGGTTAACTGATTTTCCAGCACTTTCTAGTTACACTGGAATATAGTAAACTCTTCCAAAAAAAAAAAAAAAAAGGAAGAAAAAAGAAAATCACTCCACCCCATTTTTAAAGAGCAAATTGAAAGTGCAGCACCGACTTCTATATCAACTTGCCGCCTGTGGGACTTCAGCGGTGGCAGTGGCGAGGGCGGGGCCGTGCCTGTCACTTCTTGCAGTGACTCCGGCGAGGGTCAGGAGCCGCGGAGCCAAAGGCATGGGAAGGATCACTGGTTCATTTTTTACCACCAACTTATTAGTGTTCAGGGAGTGACTGCAGCCCAAATATTACAAATATGTTCTAATTATACTCAATGAGCTATATATCATCACAGATTGCTGATAGCCTTTTGTGGGACATTTTATACAGTTCAGACGAAATATTTTTAGCAATGTAGAAATTTAAAAGTAAAAATATAAGAGATATTGTATATGCCTTCAGGCGTATTTTGTCTTAAATATTATCCTTGGCCCAGCACACTACACAAATACAGTAAATATGAATAGAACTGGCCAGTTGCCAATCTCCTAGGATGAATTTTAGTCAAGAAAGGTATTTATGGGATATAAATAATACTGTGTCAACATTTAAAGAAGGAGTCTGATTAGTTTTGAATTTATTCATATTGATCTTTTCACATGCTGTTAGTTTAAGGCTCAAAGTGGAGTTGTGCTTAGGTTTATCGATAGTTTACCTACTGGGAATTGGGAGATTTCTTGTTCTTTTGACAACCCGTTTGAAGTTCAAGACACATCTATTCAAAAGACACTGCACAAGGCTTTAGAAATTTAGCAAGAGTAGCTTCCTTAGCTAGACAAGATGTCAGATGATTGGCAGTTACAGCCTGTAGAGGCTTGGACAATCCAAAAAAGAAACAAAAAGTTTCATTTTCTATCTTTCCCTTTTTCATAGCAACAAATCAGGCATTTGTTGTGGTTCTAACTGTAGTGATTTCTGCTCCCCCGCCCCCGCCCCCCACACACACACACCCTGCACCTCCCTCTGGATACGTTTGGCAATGTCCTGAGGCATTTTTGGTCGCCCTGACTGGGAGTGGAGAGGTGCTCTAGGCGTGCAGCGGGGCGAGGCCAGGGAGGTTGCTCATCATCCTAGAATGCCCAGGACAGCTGCCTCTTCCCCTCCCCCATAGCAAAGGCTCATCCAGCCTGAAGTGTCAATAATGCCCACAGCGAGAAGCCCTGATGAGCTCGATGTTTATTTTGGGTTACTGAATGCTGCTAGTGGTACCATTTTAAAAGCACTCACCTAAAAATAAAGTATCTTTATGGTCAGAAAGACATTAACAGGAGAGCATTGCATAGAAAGATAATCAAAAAGTTATGCTAATTAAAGAGGAGTATGACTTGGACCGTTTTGTGTAGTATATGCTTTTTAAAATGATCTTAAAACATCTCCCTTAGAGGCAACCCAGCTTCCCATTCATTTAGCCCGGGAAAGGCGCGGCCCCGCCCTTCAGTAACTTCGGGCCGCCGCAACGCGTTGCCAGTCGGGACAAAGAGAAGTAAGAAACTACCCTGGATCTTTCTTGCAAAGAAAACCAGCGGTTCATGTTAATGAAGAGTGGATTCTCCAAGCCTGGCAACCAAAGAAAGTAAAGAACCGGGTTGGTCTATCCGATCATATTGAATTAGGTGAACTAAAATACACAGCCTGGGACACCACACTGAGGCTTCTTTCGTCATTGTTCCACGTGAATGGTAAACACTTAATCTCCAACAATGTCCTTTTCTGTGTTCCCTGTTACTTTCCAAGTGAAATCGTGGAACGTAGAATGAATCCCAATAGTGCTATGTTTTGGGGAAGTGCAACTTAAGATTCTATTCATGGGTATGTCTTTCTGTGCACAAATTGCTGGACTATGGGCCAATTGCCCAGTGAAGGAAAATCTTAGCAGTTGCTGGAACATAGTAGTATTTTTGCTTAATGTTCAGGGGTTTTATTTTTTATGATTCTCTGTGTGTGGGTGTGTGAGAAAGAGAAACAGAGAGAAAGAGAGAGAGTGAGAGAGAGATCAAAGAGAGGCTGAACCCCCTGACTTGCACAATGACTGAGTTATTAACAAACAACAGGCCAACTTCAATTCTTGCATTTTTATTGCATCATTGCTTGTACTAACTCTAGTGTCTAATTGTGGTTACATTTTGCTTAGGCCACGTTCTCTGTCAGGATTTCCTCTCTGCTCCCTCTTTTACTTTTCAAGGACTAGGAAAAACCCTCAAAGAAATATACTGTTTATAACTGAAGCAGTCGGGCAGCCTTTGTTGCCAAGTGAGGCCGGCAGCTTCCAGCCTCGCCTGAGGGCTCCCCTCTGTGGCGGAGGCTGGGCTTTGTAGCAGGAGGGACAGGTGGGGACCACTTGACCTCCCAGAAGGCCTTGGAGCCCTCTGTGTCTCCACAGCAGCCCCTGGGGCTGACCTCAGGAGCTGCACCTTTTGTGTGATGACCTTCCTGGGGCAAAAGCCCTGATGTAGAGCATCCTTTGTATGAAGATATCAAAGAATGACAGCTCAGCATTCCTAGAGGACAAGGAGATGTGAAAAAAGGGCTAATGACTCACTGTTGATTCACTGTCAGATCTGGGTTAGAACCGAGGAGGTCCCTGCGCTCCTAGGCCTTTGCCCAGAGATGACAGCACCCTTGAGGCGGCATTTCTAGAAGGTAGCGGAGGAACCTGGCCCCAGGGGAGGCGCAAAGAGGCTGCCCGGAAGA